TGATGTGTGTATGGATTGGGATAACAGTTGTATGAGTAAAATGTTAAAAAAGAAAAAAACCAAAAAAACAAAAAAAAAAAAACCTGGCTGATGAATTAGAAAGAGATCAGTGCCTATTGGAAACATCCTGCCATAGGCCTCAAGTCATATGTGCATAAATATCATGCAGCCCAGAGGTGAAGAACAGATTATTATATTTGATTATCATTAAAAAGGCAAGGGGTTATATGTTAATTTGATTGCACTATTGATAACTCAGTGTAATTCCCACGAAACGACCTTTCCCTGCATGGGTCTGGTAAGAAGGTGGTGGATATTGATAGGATTGATCTGTGAGTAATTTTGAACAGGATTTCCTGAAACGTCATCCTGCTGCATATAAAATGAGCCCCCTGAGAAACAGGGGGCGTGATTTCATTACAGGCAAAGTGTGTCCTCAGGACCCAGCATTTGACTTACCTCAGCCTGATCTTTGGATTTTAGACTGAACAGCTCCCACCACCCATCACATGAGAGAACATTTTTCTCAAGCTTTTGTGAATTTCTGTAGGAATTTGCAGCAATTCACATAACTCAGATATGTGAGGGGAGTGGAGGAAAACAGAGCTGAATTAGTATCATGGAAGAATTGGGAATATGGGGCATCATCAATCCCCAACTCCTCAGGACTATTCTGGTATTAATCTTCTACAAGATTAAAAGAAATCATTACTATAATAATCCTATACATGGAAAAGCCCAGATATTCAACAATGCCACTGATCTAAACTGAAGAATTCAGCTAAGTGGAAGTATACAAGTCCAACAATACTATTTACAAATGATAAAATATGGAAAATAAATCTAACACAGGATGTAAAAGAACTACATAATCAGGATATAAAAGAACTACATAATGAGGACTATAAACACCACTGCAAGAAACAAACAAACAATACCACTACCATTTAGTTGATTCGTGAAAACAGTGAGGGGAGTGGGGGACAGGGAAGAGGGAGAGAATTAAAATGAATTGGTGCAGGCCTACTTGTCATGTTTTTCTTGTTGCAATAACAGGGAGTTCAAGTTCAGGTGTATCCACATAAAAGGTTATGTGACATTAACCATTTTAACCTGAGCAGTTCATCTCTATGCTAGAGAGATCAATGGTTCACTCAGAGTTAACTATTTCTATGTGGCCTAAAATATGTTCTATTCTAGAGAATGTTTCCGGTGTATTGAAGGAAGCATGAATTATGCTGTTAATGGGTGGGATATTTTATTTATAATTTTTATGTCTTCTTTGTGAATTGACTCTTTAATTATAGTGTCTTTTTCCTTTATAAACACAATTTATATTTCATTTCTCTTTTCATTCATTTGCATGCTTGCTATACTTGTAATTTTAAAAGTGTCTGCTACATAATTCAGCACTGAAACTTCAAATAACTTACAGTAGGACTATCAATAAAGAAAAACAAAAACTCTTACTGCTACAAAATCAATTTTGACTTACAATGACCCTACAGGACACAGCAAAATAGGTAGGCCCTGTGGGTTTCAGAAGCTGTAAATCTTTAAGGAAGCAGAAAGCCTCATCTTTTTCCCTTAGAGTGGCTGGTGTGTTTGATCCACTGACATAGTGGTTAGCTGCCCAATGTGTAACCCACTGCATCACCAGAGTGCTTCACAAGAAGGTAAAAGGAAATTAGGAGTATGGGAAATGCTATAATCAGAATCTAATTAATGAGTGACATATTGTACCAAATGTAACCAATATCACCAAATAATTTGTGTAGAAATTTGTTAAGCGAGAACCCAATTTACTATGCAAACTTTCACCTTAAATACAATAAATTCCTTTTCAAACCATTTTATTAAGACATAATCCAACATCATAGCACTCCATAGTTCAGTCATATCAAGCAGTGTTGTACAAACACAATTATTTTCAAACCATTTTCTTCTTTCTTGCACTCCGTGACATTGGCTCCTTATTACTCACCCTCTCCTGTTGCCACCCCCAACCCCCACCCCAGGACCTCATTCTAGTTACTGTCTCTATAAATTCACCCAACCTGGATTCACATACCTAAAAACATAGAAAGATACACGCAACAGAGATTTAAGAACACTACCAACAATAACAAAGTACAACAGAGGAGCCTCAATTTTTTTTTGGGGGGGGGGGGGAATTAAAAAACAAACAAACAGAGATCAAACTCAAAGTGAATCAAGAGAGATCAATTGATATAGTTTTAACCATTCAAGCCAGATTTATCATTTTAATCTACTATAATTCTCCCTCCAATACTCTAAGAACCAGGCCATATCCGCCCCTCAATTATGGTCAGAGGGGAATCACTGGAGGCCCATTCCGTGTGTAGATCCGTGAATGTATTTTGGACTTCCACTGTCATCCACAGGTTTCTGCAAACTAGACTTGCACAATTTAAACTCTCCTTCAGATTTAGATTATATAATTTAGAATCCTTGGATCACAAGCTGTTGATGTGCTTCTACCATGTGGGTTTAGTTGAGGTCCTACTTAGACGGCTGCTTGTTAGAAAACAAACCCCACATACGATTCTTTCTGATAGCTGGGCACCATTTAATTTTACTACTTTGCTGTAGCGCCCATATCTTCCATGTTTCTTTAATGAGGGTGTGTATAAAGCAGGTCCAACAATGTCGTAAGAATTGTTCTTGGATTAGAGCTAGGATTAGGTCTGAGCCCCAAATCCATTCCTCAATCTATGTTTCTATCTGCCTCTGGTTCACATTACAGACATTGTTGTTATTTTATGGTACAGAATTTAAAAAAATCATTTTATTGGGAGCTCCTACAGCTCTTATCACAATCCATCCATCGTGTCAAGCACATATGTAGATAAGTTGCCATCATCATTTTCAAAACATTTTCTTTCGACTTGAGCCCTTGGTATCAGTTTTTCCTTCCCCCACCATCCCTCCCTCATGAACCCTTCATAATTTATAGATTAACATTTTTTCATGTTTTACACTAAACTGATGTCTCTCTTCACCCACTTTTCTGTTGTCTGTCTCCCTGGGAGAGGATTTTATGTAGATCATTGTGATCAGTTCCCGTTTTCTACCCCCACCTTTTCCTTACCCTCCTGGTATTGCTACTCTCATTATTGGCCCTGAAGGGGTTTATCTGTCCTGGCTTCCCTGTGCTTCCAGCGCTTATCTGTACCCATGCACATGCTCTAGTCTAGCTGGATTTGTAAGGTAGAATTGGGGTCATGATAATAGTGGGGAAGGAAGCATTAAAGAACCAGAAGAATGTTGTATGTTTCGTCAGTGCTATACTACACCCTGACTAGCTTGTCACTTCCTTAGGACCAGTCTGTAAGGGGATGTCCAATTGTCTACAGATGGGCTTTAGGTCTCCACTCCACGCTCCCCCTTATTCACACTGATATGATTTTTTTGTTCTGGATCTTTGATGCCTGATACTTGATCCCACTGACACCTCATGATCACACAGGCTGGTGTGCTTCTTCCATGTGGACTTCACTGCTTCTCAGCTAGATGGCAGCTTGTTTGTTTTCAAGCCTTTAAGACCCCAGATGCTTTATCTTTTGACAGCTGGGCACGATCAGCCTTCTTCACCACATTTGTTTATGCAGCCATTCTGTCTTCAGCAATCATGTTGGGAAGCTAAGTATCGCGGAATGCCAGGTTATTAGAACCAAGTGTTCTTGCATTGAAGGAGTACTTCAGTAGAGGCTCAATGTCCATCTGTTGCCTTAATACTGAACATATAAATATATGTACATAGATCTATTTCCTTAAAGTAATACTGTACATAAATATATTTACATATGTACATATTTGTATTTAGGCCTCTGTAAGTATCCTTTGCCTCCTAGTTTTTTCCTCTATTTCCTTTTACTTTCCTTTTGTCCCACTATCATGTTCAATCTTCATTCGGGTTTCAGTAATTCCTTCCGGTTACATTACCCTTGATCAAGCCCCACCAAGCAATCTACTCCTTCCTCGCCATTGATTTTAGATCAATCACTTGTTGTTCCCTTGTCCCTGGGTTTGTTAACATCCACTTCCTTTCCCCTGTCTCCCCCTTGTCCATGTCCCTCTATGGTAGAGAACCTTATCAATCAACTTCTTGGAGCATAAGCTCCTTCTGTTTATAGTGCCATTGGTTTAGCGCATGGTAATGTATTTAAAACACAGTAAATTATAAAAAACAAACAAAAAATCAAAATACTACTTATGTAAAATAAGTGTCACACCCCAATTTTTAACCTCTAAAATAATTCTTCCCAAAATACGACTGAGTCTGGCATATGCTTAAAGAATGAAAATTATGACTGAGAAAATTATGGAGATAAGATTGTTTAGAAAGTACCTTAAGAAGTTCAAGTCCTGAACGAATAGCAGTATCTGGACTTACACCCTCCTCTTCATCATCTGCTGTTCCCTCTATTGATTTATTCATCAATTTTACTAGTGCACTATAAAAGTAAGAAAATCTGAATTACATTACATTACATTAATTATATTACAAAATCAGCAACTATATTCCAACTGCACTATGTCAGGATATATACAGAACTTAAAACTCCAGATTCAAGAATGTTTCTGAAAAATTATTTTCCTACTTGTTCCCTATTCAACGTGAATTTATTCTTTTTTATTTCCATGAATTTATTTTTAGTTTATTTCCCTACATGTTTAAATGTCAATGTTTCATTAAACAAGGGAGTATTGTTTTAGTTAATACATTTAGAAATTACGGGCAAAGGAAAACAATTTTTTACGACCAAATTGAGTACCAAATAGGTTCAGTTTAATCTGAAAATGAAAACTAAAGAAATATGTGAACATTCTTAGTTATGATCAGAAAATGAAATATTTATGTGATTATAAGCAGTACAATAGTCATTTCTATACACAAAAGATCATCACTTGTAATTTTGGAAAATACAAAATGGTTGTTGCTAAATGGCCAAGTGGCAATTCACTCAAAACAAAATACCAACAATAACCATCAAATAGACAAAGGCATTAATTAGCATATTGAGTTACACATTGGACTGCTAACCACGAAAGTTAGTAGTTAAATCCACCAGCTACTGTGTGGGAGAAAGATGAAGCTTTCTACACCCATAAAGTGAGTCTTGGGAAAACCAGAGGCAGTTTTACCATCTTATAGGGTCACTAGGAAATCAGAAATATATACCAATCAGAAATATATACCAAAAGAGCAATTCACTAACATATAATGTTGAACTCACAGATTAAGAAATTAGAAAAATACTGAGATGTCCAATATATAGAATTAGTTTTTATTTTTAAAATAATTTTCTTGGGAGCTGTTACAGATATTAAAACAATAAATACGTTTTTGAAATATATCTACAACCACAAAATGAGTTATACGGTCAATAAACATCCAGCTATACAACAGCATGGGACTATTTTAAGTAAAACCCAATATATATCCATGCTATAACCCTGATGGTATTCCTTCAGACTTTTTTTTAGTTATTCTCATAACTCAGTTTATTCTCATCTTAAAGAATATTGAAAAGGAACATAATTTTGAGTCCCCCAAGGATGCCCAAGCCCCAAAGTGGCGTTTGATGCGATACACGTTCAAGAGTACAGAATTCTTTGATGAAGCTTAGTGCAGCGGTTCTCAACCTGTGGGTCGTGACCCCTTTGGGGGGTGGAATAACCCTTTCACAGGGCCCCCCGTTTCATAACAGTAGCAAAATGACAGCGATGAAGTAGTAACGAAAATAATGTTATGGTTGGGGGGGTCACCACAGCATGAACTGTGTTCAAGGTCACAGCATTCGGAAGGTTCAGAACCACTGGCTTAGAGGGATGAAAACAGTGCCTCCCGAAATGTACAGACCCAGACAGAAGACATGCTCAAACATAATAGCTTCACATTTTGATATGTGTATTTTTGGAGAACAGAGAATTTTTTAATTTAAAAAATAGCAAGATAAGGCACTTAGGAATAACCACTAATTATGATGGATAAAGGCATCCCTGTTCCATTTCATGCCATCTGCCAGTTTAAGGGACTATGAATGAAGCCTATTTAAAAAAAAATCATTTTATTAAAGGCTCGTACAACTCTTACCACAATCCACATATATCTATGGTGTCAAGCGCATTTGTACATTTATTGCCATCATCATTCTCAAAACATTTGCTTTCTACTTGCACCCTTTGTATCAGCTTTTTCCCCTCCCTCTCTGCTGCCACCTCCCTCATGAATCCTTGATAATTTATTAATTTTTTTGTCATATCTTACACTGTCCAACATCCCCCTTCACCCACTTTTCTGTTGTCCATCCCCCAGGGAGGAGGTTATATGTATAATCGGTTCCCCCACCTTTCTATCCCACCTTCCCT